AAAAAAAAAAAGAAATGTCTCTGAGTTAAACACGATTGTAGAGAAGTTCACGTTAATTTATAATCACAAACATTTTCAACTAATACGATACCAAAAAAAATAAAGATCCTCCCCTGAGATTAAGTTAATCCCTTATAATGCCTATTTTCAAAGAAGAAAAAATTCGCCGTCGTAAAGAGGAAATGGAAGAAGAAAGGGGAGAGAACACGAAACATTTGGCAGGCACGCGAGAAAAACGACCAGCCCCATTGATAGCCCATTAATTCCCAGTAATGATCCAATTACCGCGCCAGAGACGGCCCTTTCGAACACCTATTCACCGCCTTGGAGCGTGTTCGTGCGCATCAGTCACGTTCCAGGGCATTGAGCAAGATCCAAGTGTACCCGGCCTAACCGAACCGTAACCAGACCGCAGTTGCAAATCAACCCCCTCCACCTCCTCCCTTCAAATATTAATTCAATAGGAGGCGGTCGTCGTGGTAACGACGTAAACACCGTTACCATATCCGTCGATCGTCCGTCCATCCGTCGGGGTCAAGAGAGATATCGGTGGTAGTCGAAGACGAAACGAAATTTCTAACCCTCTCTGTCCAATCGTGAAGGAGGGAAATCATGAGTTTCTTCAAGTTGGAGGAGGTGCAATGCGGCCCCCTCAAGCCGAGGAAACGCAACGCGGTTGCCGTCGGCAGCCCGAACGTGTGGTGGGGATATAGATTGCGCGAGAGGACCGGTTGCAAGAAGATCCCTATACCCGAAACGTACGAGAACTTCGAGGAGGAGAAGAGGAGGGACTATGAGCACGTGACGAAGATCATGGAGTTCGAGAAACACTCGAAGTGGAGGATCAGGAGGAAGGGTATCAGGCAGCACGTTCAGCAAGGTACTAGCGAGGAATGTATGGGGTGTTGGTCGTCAGGACACGCGGTGAAGTAAGAGGTGCGTGTGTAGAATTGCGTTTGATCCAAGTTTTTAAGTTGTGTAATTTCGTGTAGGAAATTTAGGAATCGAATTTTTTTAGGGGAATTTTTTTTTCTTTCTTCTTTTTTAAGGAAAGAGAAAAGTGGATAAATAAAGTTAGATTATTCGAAATGGAGTGTAATTTGGCGAAATTTTAAATTGAATTCTAAAACTAAATTCTAGACGATGTCGCACGTTTATCTCAAATTGTTTTCCCGCTTTCACAGAAATTTCAATACTTTAAAATGAAACTTTTAAATAAAAGAAAAAGAAACACGTTATCTCGATAGATTCGTTCTCAATCGATTAAAATCGGGTTGGAAATACATATGTAATCGGTCAACAAGTGGTAATTCCTCAGGGCTGGTGTCTCACGAAGACATGGTGAACGTACGTCGGGAAAAATTGCGAGAGATATTGTTGAAGGAAGAGATGGGGTTGATCCACGAGGTGATAGACCAGGCTCAGCACGGTGACGACGCAAGAATGGACGATATGCGGCGCACAATAGAAGAGATACACAAAGAAGAGGAGGAACAACGGTTGGCCCTGTTGGCCCAGAAGAGGATGCAGCAATATGTGATAGGAAGCGCGTTATTCCGGGAGGAATTGTCGAAGAAGGCTGTAATCGAAGCGAAACAAATCAATCTCGTCCAAATGACGGAGAACGAAGTTAAGAGGCAGGCCGAGAAGGAATTGGATAATTTCTGGCACCAGATGATGCTGAAAGAGGTGGAGGCGAAGAAGCAGAGGGACGTAGAGGAAACGAAGAGGCGTTGCCTCGTCCAAGAGAACGACACCGAAATTTTGATGAAACAAATGGCAGGGAAATTGGCTTTGGAGGAGGAGAGGAAGCGGATACGGCAGGAGGACGTTGAGCACATGGAACGTTTATGCGAGGCGGTTCGCAAGGAGGAGTTGGACAAGGCGGAGAGAGATCGCCAGAAGAAGGAAGAGTTGAAGAACGATCTGCTGGAACAGATTCGGCTGGCCAAGACGAGGTTGACGGAGGAGGATCGCCACGAGAAAGAGATGGACCGGTTGAGAGGGGTTATCACCGCCGAGGAATTGGCGAGGGAGGAGGCCGCCATCGTGGAGACCACCGCGGCTTTCCGTAGCGAGTTGTTGGCTTATTTCGAATATTTGGAAAATTTGAAGAAACAGGAGGAGAGGAGGAACTTGGAGATTGACCAGCTGGTGGAACAATCCCTGAAGGAGGCCGCAGCCAAGCGCGACGAAGCGGTGAAGAGGTACAAGGAGGTTAGGAAGAAGCTTCTGCAGGATGTGATAGAGGGTCGGGAGCAACAGTTGAGGATAAAATGCGAAAAGAAGAAGAAGGAGGAGGAGGATCGTTTGTTGGAGAAGGAGATGTTGGAGAAGGAGATAGAAATGGAAGCCAAGTTGACCGCCAACGCGAAGAAGGAGGAGAGGGAGAGGATGTTGTGCTACAAGAAGGAACTGATGGAGCAGTGGAAATTGAAAGACGAGACGCGGCGTAAAGAAATCGAGGAAGGGAAGAAGATGTATGTAGATGAGTTGAAACGTCAAAATGACGAGTATAATAAAATAATGGACGTTCCGCAAGTTACTGCCCCGCATCCGTTTAAGATTTTGTTGAAGGAGTGCGCGACTCGTCATGCCGCGGAGAAAGAGGGGAAATGTACCTGTCCTCCTCTGTTAGACGAGTAAAAATCACACGATTTGTATTTTACGATTTTAATTTTTAACGATCGAACGTATTCTGTTCGTTTATTACAAAGTGATATATTTATACATATATATATATTTGCTGTTTTAAAATACGAATTTTCCCGCTCCGAGAGGATCCACGATCCACGCCGAGATCTATACAGTTCCGTTTGAACTATTCGCGCCATCTGTGCCAACGTACGAAAACTTTCTCTATCGTTAAGGTAGAATTCTGTTTCTCGTTCATCGATCTCTTCTCTTTTTCCCCGTTTTTTTACGGCGCGCATTCCCTACTGGCGCGATATTTAAAAAAGCGCCACGGGATCGATGAAAGAAAAATCGCTCCTTCTCCGTAACGTCGCTGTTAAATAAACAGCTGTGAAATAACTCGTGAATCGAAAGCAATCGGAACAACGATTTACGAGACAGTTGATCGTAAATCCAAACTTATCGAATTATAACAAACTGATGAAATAAAATTGGCGCAAATGTTGAGCGTCAATTCGAATCACTCGTAAATAATCTCATCATTGTATTTTCATTTTCATTTTCAGCGGCCGATTCGCGATTAAAATAATTACGCGCTCGGTTAAAAATATCTTTTTTCTTTCGCGAGATTTATACCTCGGTTGAAAAACCGATCGTCCACGTTCTTTTTTATCTTCCTTCCCCCTTCTTTTATTTTTAACTTTATTCTTCTTTGTTCTTTTTTTTTTCTCGCTTTCTTCTTGTACAGAGATACAAGTTGGAACCTCTTTCTCGTCGAATCCTCTTGCACCCGTCTTCGGTCCCTTTGAAATTCACGCGGGCATTGACGTGCAAATTGACACGCAGATTGGATTAAATAACATAACTTGTACGGTCGGTGCGCGCGACGCGTTAAATTAGTCGCCGTTTCGTTCAATTATCGGAAAATACGCGACGCGGTGAAAAGGAGGGTCGATTCAACGAACGTGCGCGGTCAAAAAATTAAAGAGGAATTAATCGGCTCGAAGACCCGCTTACAAATAATTTGATCGAGGCTTCGAGTCCGTTTCGCTCCGTTTTCAAAAATCTTATCCCGATAATTTAACCCCTTTCGAAAATGTATTTGAAAATGTATTGGAATGTTATTATCATTTTTTTTACGATTACATCTACGTCACGATGGGTTAAAGCGTTATCTGTTTACGATCCCCCAAACACCGCTCTCTTTTAAACGTTTCTCTTTAAAACAGCGCAGATATTATGACGTCGTTTGCCTAACTTCCATATTATATACTATATTATATACTACCCCCGGTAGTGCTTATTTTTTTCCCCTATCTTCCCTCGGGCTTTTCTTTATACATTTTCGAAAGCGTTGAAGGTATTCCAGCTATTATAACTGATACAATCTGTGCCTAGCATTATATAGATCTGTAACAGATCTATAACAATACTCTTTCGAAATTGCTCCCTCAGCTTGATCACCCGACCAAGGGTAATTTTCACGAGGAATTTTTTTCCTTCCTTTAATTTTCCCTTTCTCGTCGAATCGAGAATCTTCGTTTGCATTTTTTCTCAAAATATCGTAAGGAAGGAATTTACCCTCGATCCTCTCCATCGAAAATAGAGAAGAAATAGTTCTCCACGAGACGCTTTTATTTAAACCGCTTTTAACTTTTCCAACTCCTGGCGCAAACTCGATTTCCCTTTCTAGGATCTCCGCGTCCCTTACGATAGCGCGATAAATCCAGCTCGATGGAGGCCATAAAAAATCCAACCCTTTCGTCGAGACGAGAAAAGCTGGGACGCTCCCCAACATAGCCCCATGTATATTAAAACGCATCCCCGTGGCTATATTAAAATATTTCCGTTCGGTCGGCGAGCTCGTCCCATAATTCCTCCACCCGTGACGTCGCGTAGTTGCGAAACCGTTCAACGGCGTGGAAACCCGGAAGTGGTTGGCACGGGGGATGGACACGGGCCCCAAGTCGAAGCTATTTAACGCGGAATTTCGACCGCAGACACGGGATATGAATACGGATAATATCCGTGATTGTCGTCGTGTCTGCGAGAAAAGCGATTGGAAAATTATGATTTTGGGGAGGGGGGTCATTCTTGGTTTGAATGATTCGTAGAGTTACGATTCGTTCGATTTTTCTGATTTTTTTTTCAACGAGCTGTAATTTCATTTTGCTTCATAATTGTGATGTGATGTCGAATTGGATAGTTTTAGGGTTTGGTCGTCGCCTATTGAGGATTCTTCCAGTAGAAAGTAAAAGTAATAATGATAATAATGGAATGAATTTTAAATCGTGCTTCGATATTCTCGATTGTTCATCTCTTTTTTTTGTAGTTTATTTTCATTTGAGGAGAGAAGACTCTTCAGCTCTTTCAGGAGCTTTTTTACTTTCCTATTATTATCTTCTTCTTTTTTTCTTTCAGAGAGATTTCATCCTTTGCGTGTTCTCTCTCGGGAGAGATTAATCGATTAGATAGATAGGAAGAAGGGTTGCGAGACTCTGTAATAATTTTTATATACATTTTTACAAATATCAGTTAATTAGATTCGAATTATTTTAAAAATTTGGGAAAGATTTGGGATATTTTTAAATATTCTCGTGGTAATCGAATATTCTTAGCAGAGACGATTGAATAATTGATCAGTCCCCGGGATTCGATAAACAAGTTTTTTAAACTTGCAACGAACTCCATTAAGAATTCATTAAAAGATTTCTCCGCGAAAGCCTGATTGGCCCCCGTGACTCCATTTACTACGTGTACATTAAAATATTCACCCGAACGCTTCTCCGCCGGACCCCGCCATACCCCCACCTCCCTGTCGATCAGGTTAATCGATTTAGTCGCTCTACTTAACCCTTTGCCAACTCAAAAAAAAAAAAAAAAGTAAAAAACTCAAAAGACCATCGTTACAATACCCGACGAACGACCATCCCGAAGATTCATCATTCCATCCTTTAAAGATAAACGATTCGTTACATTACGTTAAATCGGTGGAAGAAAAACTCTTAAAGTTCGTTACAACTCGACGAAGATCTCTATCTGATGATCTCTATCTGATTTTCTTCAATTAAATCATCGAGACTCGCGTGAAACCCACCGATTGTGAAACTTTCACCCTCAACGAAGGGTGAGTTAAACCACGCTCGATTCGAGGTCCAACAACCGCGTGCATCCGTCGACGCGTGTGATTGATCGAACTGTGTGCATGCGTCGCGGTTTGTCGAGGTTCGCCCTCGAGGTTGGAGAGGGATCACAGTTGCGATCGCGATCGCTTTGAGCCATTCCCTGGCCGGCCAGTGGCAGTTTTTCTCCTCGTTTCGCTTCGGTGCCTCGAGGCGGCTGCACCTGCACCGCGTGCGCGCTTCTTCCTCTTCTTCTTCTCCGTATTAAAGCGGAATGAAGAGAAGGAGGAGGAGAGGATTATTGTCGAGGAGGGGACGTGGTAACGGGGTAAGATAATTCTTCTGTTCGAGGAGAATGGAAAGGGATGTTTAATTTTCAATGCACGGGAAGTGTATCCTCGCGCAGCGAGTATAAAATCGAAGGGGGAGGGGGGAAATATCTATTCTTATTTTTCTTTTTCAGAGAAAATAAGGAGGAAGAGAAATTCTTGGAAAGTTAGTTTGATTTTTGTATTCATAGATTTTAATTCTCTTTGATAATTCTCTTTCTTGAAAATATACTCGAGAACTCGTTGCAAGGTTAGAGAGATGCGTGGTTTTTTTAAAATGACGCGAAAGACAAGAAGATATCTCGCGTTCACAACGTGGCGACGAAAAGGGGATGAAATTTAGATGCGAGTGACGAGAGAAAGGAGTAAATATCGAGAGTACGAGCAGAGATAAGGGAAGTCTAATTGGGAAGACATCGGATAAACGTGGAGGGATGGAGAAAGGAGAAAAATTACAGAGGTAGATTTATAAAAGTATATAAGCTTCGTCTTCCTCTGCTGGACGATCTGTCCTTAAGAGAGAGAGAGAGAAAGAGAGATAGAGAGACTTCCATCGCAATCTACTCCCGTGTAATCCATAGGGCGCCAACTTTCCAGACACCTACTCGCTGTCTGCGAGGGAGATGACTCGAGACTTTTGGTTTGGAAACAATCCATCGGTTTCTTAATCTCTCTTAACCTGAAAAAAAAAAGAAAGAAAGAAAGAAAGAAAGAAAGAAACGTATCCAATCTCATCTAGCACGATAAAGGTAACAAAACATTATTGACCGACGAAATCTTTATTTAATCTTGTAATCTTGGTGGAATAAACTTGAGAAGGGGACAATAATTAAAAGTACTAATCATCAACGCGCGCGCGATGCGAGAGGGGGAGATTCCCTTCTCAAGGAAAGGATTGAAAGAGAGATCGAAGAAACAATTATATAGGAGAGGATCAAGGACGAAGAGAAAGGAGAGGGGCGAGACGGAATAGGAAGAAATATGAAAAGGATAAAAAAGGAGGGGAGGGGAAAAAAATAAAAGGAGAGGCAGACGAAGAAGAAGAAGAAGAAGAAGAAGAGGAGGAGGAAGGAAATGGGGTCCAGGACGGGGATTGCGGACTCGAAGGAGCGAATGGACCTCGCCCCTGGGGATGTTCTTTTGACAGTCATGTCGCTGTCGTCTCCTAAGGTCCCCCGGCGGCGTTGCATTAATCTTCTTCTTCCGACCCCGCCTTATTGAAAATTCTACAGAACGCTTCACAGTTTTTGCCCCCGGTCCGCCCTTTGTACCCCCGCCTACACCTCCGGGGACGTCACCTACGGAGAGGAGGATTCACCTGCGGAGGGAAGAGAGTCGATCGTCGCGGCTTCCGTCTCGTGTCGTCTCGTTTTCCATTCGTTGAAAGGGTGAAAACCTTTCTATTAGGGAATCGGTTAAATGCCAATTGACCGAATAATTCGTTACCAGTGATTCCGATATCTTGGAAATTCTCGAATACACGAAGGAACTTGGAAGGATCCACTAGACGAAAGAAAGAATTTACTGTAATTTAATGTAACACGTGTTTGGCAATGTTCAAGCTACACGGAACAATTCGAGACAAGTCTTGGCGTTAGTTTCGAGATAAAAGATTCTTGGGATTTTTGTTTGGTATCTTGATATCTCGACAGGAAAACGAACACCGACCTCAAAAATTCTATAAATTCGCTCGAGTTCTACTTCGAATGAAAAAGAAAGATCCAGAAGTGTTTCGTGAACTTTTCAAAATAGGAGGATCAATTTATATAAAATTCTACAAAATCCATTTCTTGTTCTATGAGAGAACTCATACCTTTTTATTTTTTAATCTCGTTCCATTTCTTACCCTTCTTCTTTCTCTATCCAAAAATATACGAAAGAAGCAACGATATTACGATATTGCGTCGATGTACGATTA